CGCTCGAATGACGTTGGTGCAGGTTGTGGGAAACCGACCAGACAGACTTGACGGTGGCCACGACGCTTCTGCTTCGATGTGGTCCATTGCTACAAGAATGACCGACGGGCAGGGTAACACAATATGGGAATGGTGGGTTGTGGGATGTGCACAAATAACGTGCTATAACGTCCTAGACGTGGACGGATGAGAAAAGCCTCAACAGATGTCGATAAGGTGAAATCTGAAATGGGGTTTTGAACAAGTATTTAGCTCGAGCAGGACCGAACAGAGAGCAGTCTAGACCTATAGCGATCTTTGCTCCATCCAGATGCTTTCGATCCACACGCAATCCTGGCAATGGACGCTCTGCCTCGTTCGCACGATCAACGCTTTCCCGTCCCTCCCATCCGTGTCCCATGGGTGCGTCTTGACGTGTGCTACGATCCTCGACCTAGCAGGAACAAGCGAGCCTTGGGGGCCTGCTTTTTCTTCTGATTGACTATTGCACTTGCGGCAACGTGCATGGGCGTCCATGAAGAAGTGGTGAACGCAAAGAGACATCTCGAGGGACAAATAGTCAAGTCCTTTCTGAGAGCACCATTGAACATTGAACATTTGATTGACAAATTCATTCGTGATTTCATCAGTTTCAGAATTGACTCTTGAGTTTGATTCAGAATTCAGATTCACACGGGCTCACGTGTCGTGACCGCACGGTCACGCTTCCCGTTTACCGGTACCGTACCGCGGTAAAGCTCTTGTCGGCATGCTGCACGCGGCAGCAGCGTGCATGCAGCGCGATCGAGGGCGCGTCGTGATTCGCGCGATGTTCCTGCTGCTGCCGACCACCATCACTCTTCACCGCTTCCCGAATCATGCATCTGCACAAAGCTCCAATCGCTTGCTTATTCTGTGCCTGATTTGGCCGTTTTCGAAGCAATCTCGACGATACGCATCCAAAGGCCCAGCGAGCGAGCGAGCAAGCGCGTCTTGGCCGCGCTCCTTGCACGCATCGATCCAACATGCCATCCGCAACTACGCGCAGTTCTGCAGGCATTGCAGCTGGCTCTTCCAACCAGTCCCTGCCTACCAATGGGCATGCCGTACCTGCGAATGGGAGGGGAGATGTGGAGATGGAACAGGAGCAAGAAGGAGAGCGAGAGGGAGAAGGGGAGGAAGGAGATGAGATCCCAGAGGATGAGTACGAGATCGAGGCGATCCTTAGTCACGACAAGGGAAGATTGGAAAAGGTGAGTCGT